TTCAAGGGTGACTTCAGCCTGTCTTTCTGTCTCTTCCCCTCCAGCTGGAGGGGCAGCGTGTCAGGCTAAACTCCTGCTTCCTCTGTCCCCGTGTGGTGGAGAAGCAGTGACTCCACATCCCAGGCCGCTCTGTCTGCAGCATCCCCTGAGCTTCCCCAACAACCTTCACCCCCACGTGACGGTGCAGCTCGCAGACCCCGGAAACTTGCTGGTGCCTTGACGTTGGACTTCGCAGAGTCCAGAACTGGAGCCAACACATTTCTGTTCATTGTAAATTTCCCCGTCTCAGTCATGCTGTTGAAGCATCACAGGGTGCACTGAGACACGTGCTTCCCTTCTGTCGGTAGTATTCCTGGCCCTGTTCATGGCCTCATGCGTGAATTCTGGCGTCCATTCTCCCAGGCATCCATTCACCAGACATGCTCAGCCCTGCTGTGTCCTGGTCCTCTGGGGTCGGCCTCGTTCTCTGTCTGCTGTCTGCTGGGGAGGCCACTGGACCTGTGCTGTCCCATGTGGGCGGGGGGGGGGGCATTGGCCACGGGGGCTACGGAGCACTTGAAATGGAGCCTGATGATAGACCTGAGCACAGGAAAAATACACAGCTCATTTCTCTCTCTCTCTCTCTCTCTCTCTCTCTTTTTGAGACGGAGTTTTGTCTTGTTGCCCAGGCTGGAGTGCAATGGCACGATCTCTGCTCACCACAACCTCTGCCTCATGGGTTCAAGTGATTCTACTGAGTCAGCCTCTTGAGTAGCTGGGATTACAGGTGTGCACCACCACACCTGGCTACTTTTATTTTCATTTTTATTTTTAGTAGAGACGGGATTTCACGCTGTTGGCCAGGCTGGTTTTAAACATCTAACCTCAGATGATCCACCTGCCTTGGCCTCCCAAAGTGCTGGGATTACAGGCATGAGCCAGCGTGCGTGGCCTACACCGCTCATTTCAAAGACTCAGTGTGAGAAGAAAAAGAAGCTTCACTATTTTGTGAAGAAGTTTATGTTAATTAATGTTGAAGTAATATGTTAGCTACATTGGATTAAATAAAATATTAAAATTAGGCTGGGCGTGGTGGCTCAGGCCTGTAATCCCAACACTTTGGAAGCCCAAGGCAGGTGGATCACCTGAGGTGAGGAACTCTAGGCCAGCCTGGCCTACATGATGAAACCCCATCTCTACTAAAAATACAAAAAATTTAGCTGGGCATGGTGATGGGCACCTATAATCCCAGCTACTCAGGAGTCTGATTGCTTGAACCCAGGACACAGAGGTTCCGGTGAGCCAATATAGCGCCATTGCACTCCAGCCTGGACAACAAGAGCAAAACTCCATCTCAAAAAAAAAAAAAAAGACTATTTGTTAAGAGGCAGGCCCCCACGATCGGATCCCAGGACGGTCAAGCCAGCACGTCAGGTCCATGGACTTGAAAAACATGGGAGAAAAGTACACAGTGGATAGTCCGCCACAGGGCATTTCACTGATCAGTGCGTGCTTCGCTTCCCCAGCTGGCTTAGCTCCTGCCTGTAAATTAATTAGAGTCTGGGGGGTACCTGGCCTTGAAAGATCTTTGCAACCAAAGGCGGCCTTGAGCGGTCGTTTGTTTTCATTTTCACTTCGTAGCATAGCCAGACGGTGTTCCGATGAGAAAGGATGGGTCTGTTATAAAAGTTGTAGAAGAATGTGTCTGGATCCATTCGTACCACCGTGTTTCTGAAGACACAAGAGAGAAACCAGCCAATGCAGAGAGTGCTCCCTGGAGCCCTCCAGGCTGATGTCCACTCTACACTGCTCGCTGGACAGCCCTGGGCCTCCCCCCATGCCTCCACAGGCCTGAGGATTTCTGCTGCCTGCCCAGGCAGGAAGACCAGGGAGATGGCTGGGTGTCTCATGCCTGTACTCCCAGTGCTGTGTGAGGCCGAGGCGGGCGGATCATGAGGTCAGGAGTTCAAGACCATCCTGGCCAACATGGTGAAACCCTGTCTCTACTAAAATACAAAAAATTAGCCGGGCATGGTAGTGCCATGCCTGTAATTTCAGCTACTAGGGAGGCTGAAGCAGGAGAATCTTGAACCTGGGAGGCGGAGGTTGCAGTGAGCCAAGGTCATCCGATTGCACTCTAGCCTGGTGACACAGCAAGACTGCATCTCAAAAAAAAAAAAAAAAAGACCATGGAGAGAACAAGAGAAGGGGATGGTGGCAGGGGCAGCAGGGCCAGGGTAACCTCTCCCCGCTCAGGGCCCAGCTCTGGTCTTTCCATGGGTACATTCCCCACCCTCCCAGTATTTCTGCCCACCCACTCTCCAATTGGGAAAACACAAAAGAGAATAAAGTTCTTGGCTGGGCGTGATGGCTCACGCCTGTAATCCCAGCACTTTGGGAGGCTGAGGCAGGAGTTTGAGACCAGCCTGGCTAACATGTTGAAACCCCGTGTCTCTACTAAAAATACAAAAAAAGATTAGCCAGGCATGGTAGCAGGTGCCTGTAATCCCAGTTACTCCGGAAGTTGAGGCAGGAGAATTGCCTGAACTGCCAGTTGGAGGTTGCAGTGAGCTGAGATGGCGCCACTGCACTCCAGCCTGGGCAATGAGTTAAACTCCGTCTAAAAAAAAAAAAAGACAGAGAACACAGAACTCTTCGCCCCCAAATAATAGCTTTTAACCTTTCAGCTCAGGTCCTTTCTGACATTTCACCTCTATATGATCATTTTTAAATGACGGTAGAACTGAATGCTGAGGCCCAGGCCATTGTTCTAAGTGCTTCGAGGTTCTGAGCTCATGTGATGCTGACCTGGGCCTGCAGGGCCATTCGCATCTTACAGAGGAGGTGCCAGAGGCATAGAGAGGCAGGGTAACCTGCCCAGGACACGGAGCTGGGCTGATGGGGCTGGGGCCTCTTTCTAAGCCAGCCCTGTCCAGCCTCTGCATCACCGGCCCTGCAGGAGGGAGCCGTTGGGGACTGGGCTCTCTTCTCACTACATTTTAAAATAAGAGCATTTCTCCTGATCATTGCGTTTTTTCCTCTATATTCCATGTTACCGGTGTCATTATAAACAGTGAATGGCAGTCCTAGATGTAAGGTCTGACTGCCCCATGAATGGCATGGTAATCTCTGTGTACCCTGCACACACACCCCAGATGAGTTCCTGGGAGAAACGATCAGCTCCTGTGATGCCTAACTAACCTGAGACATTCTTCTACTGTTTCTTTCTTTCTTTCTTTCTTCTTTTAAATTATCATACAGGCCAAAATGTCACTATTGTTTCTTATTCCGGCCTCAATTGACAAGGCCATTGGACTTTGTGACTTTGTAACCAACCTTGGCCCACCTCGTGACTGCATGCCCTACGACCCCCTCCCAGCTTGCAAACCTACAACCCCTTCCCAGCTTGCAAACCTACAACCCCCTCCCAGCTTGCAAAAAACCGCCCTAAAGCTACTTCTGTAACTTTCCACTGTTTAACTCCAAACCTATAAAACCAACTCCTCTCCCTCCACCCTCTGCTGACTCCATTTTCGGCCTCAGCCTGGCCACACTTGGGCGAATAAACCGCCATGTTGCTCACACAAAGCCTGTTTCGGGGTCTCTTCATTCAGAGCTGCCGTTTTAACACTGGAGGAGGACTGTGTGTTTGGGGTCATCTGCAGCCTCCTGTGCCCACAGTGGAGACATTCTTGGAAGAGATAATTTATCTTGTGCTTCAGAGACCTTTCCCTCCCCCACACACTCTCGTAAGACTTTTTTTTTTTTTTTTTTTTTGAGACGGAGTCTCCCTCTGTTGCCCAAGCTGGAGTGCAATGGTGCAATCTCAGCTCAATGCAACCTCCATCTCCTGGGTTCAAGCGATTCTCCTGCCTCTGCCTCTTGAGTAGCTGAGATTGCAGATGCCTGCTACCATGCCCAGCTAATTTTTTGTATTTTTAGTAGGGATGTTGGCCAGGCTGGTCTTGAACTCCTGATCTCATGATCCACCAGCCTCCTAAAGCACTGGGATTGCAGGCGTGAGCCACCACCCCCCGCCCAAGACTTTGTATTTAAGCAAAGTAAATCTTACAGAAAATCCATCAAAGCGCTGTGAACAAAAATGCCTGATTGCTCCAGTCATCCTTTGGTTCAATTCTCCTGGTTCCAGAGCTTAGGAACAGTGGGAAGCATGTAGAGGGAGCACCCTCCCAGGGCAGGGAGCACCAGCCTGGCCAGGACTTTCAGGGGAGAGTCTCAGCAGGAGGCCTGGGCTGGGGCAGGTCGGGAAGGTGGCCCATTCAGAAGCAGCAGTGAGGTGACCACACAGTGGGGCAAAGAGCCTGGCCAGGAGTGGGGGCAACAGAGGGGCCAGAGGGGAGGGAGCCAGCCCAGGGGTGGGCCAGGGGCAGCGGGAGGCCAGGGCTAAGTCCCAGCAGGGCCACCAGGCAGGAGGGGGCAGCCATACCTGGTCTGAGGCTTCATCTGTGGCCAGCTAGTCCCAGCCATGATCTTTGTCTGGACCACTAGAGTTTCACTTTCTGTTACAGGCTCCAGGTTTTAGGACAGCCCTCCTTAAAGTGACCACGCCCAGGGCCTTGTGAGTCATGGTGCCTCCCCCTTCCAGCTCAGGCTCTGGTTCGGGAGGCTCCAGAGTGCTTTATCTTCCTGGGCTCTCAGCCTCTTTCTGCTTTTCTCTTTCTCTGGGGCCCTCCCCCTGGCAGAGAGACCTCTGATAAAGCAGGCTGCTCTGTGCGGCAGAACCCAAGGGAATTGCAAAGGGAAAGAGAAAGTCACTTCAGCCAGAGCTGGGGAGGTGGTTCCACACTAGGCTGAGCCAGCAGAGCAGAGGCCCCTCCCTGGTGGTCCAGGTCAGCTGGAGCCACCTCTCCACCATCAAGACTGACAGGCTGAAGCCTCTGCAGGGGCTCCTGGATCCTGCCCTCAAGGATCATCCCAGAGACACCCCACCCAGCCACCGTGAGGACAGGAAGGAAGAGTGAAGGGCCAGGTGTCTACATCCCCCCAACGACTTCACACTCGGAGGCCAGCATGGGAGGGAGGGACAGCAGGTGGGTGTGGCCCCCAGCTGGCTCACCAGGATGTCATGGGCACTCCCACACTGAGCTCCTTCCTTCTGGCTTCTCCTTCTCCTGCCTGGAGTTTCTTCCTGGTGGGCTGAGCTCTTGCCTCCTCTTGGCCCATATCATGAAAGGGCAGTGGCTAGTGTGTCAGGCCAACCTGTCTGGCGCCTCCCTGTGCATCTCACAGCTCCCTTCCCCTAGAAGTGTGCTCCCATGGTGCAGTTAACTAAACATTTCACAACGTGTAAATTCGGAAAGGAAACTTTTATTTCTTGTTAAGGGTGACAGCCTGCAAGGTAGCCATCCGGCGGGCTGGGAAGAGCAGCCTCTGGGAAACACCAGAGACAGACCTTTAGAAGCAGGAGGGGTTGGGGCAGGAGCTTTATGCTGAAGGGGTTGACCAAACATACATATTCAACAGGATATAGGAGGAGCTAGGAATATTCATGCCGGTGGTTGTGCTCCGTGTTTATTGAACAGACATGCCGGTAACATATGATCCCGGCACTTTGGGAGGTCGAGGCGGGTGGATCACGAGGTCAGGAGTTTGAAACCAGCCTGGCCAACATAGTGAAATCCTGTCCCTACTAAAAATATAAAAATTGGCTGGGTGTGGTGTCCCACACCTGTAATCCCAGCTATTTGGGAGGCTGAGGCAGGAGAATTGCTTGAACCTGGGAGGCAGATGTTGCAGTGAGCCGAGACCATGCCATTGCACTCCAGCTCTGGTGACAAAGTGAGACTCCATTTCGAAAAAAAAAAAAAAAAGTATTTCATTTTATTCTTCTGCATAAAGTATAAGGCCACGCCAAGAACAGCACGACCATCTCTGTGATCTGCATGCACAGACCATCTCTGTGATCTGCATGCACACCCGGGTTAGTTCCCACAAGAAACCATCAACCCCTGCCGCGCCTAACTACCCTGAGACATTCTTCTATTGTTTCTTATTCCGGCCTCAATTGACAAGGCCATTGGCCTTTGTAACCGACCTTGACTCCACACCCTACAACCCCCTCCCAGCTTGCAAACCTACGACGCCCTCCCAAAAAACCGCCCTAAAGTAACTTTTGTAACTTTCCACTTCCTTCCCCACAACCTATAAAATCAACTCCTATCCCACCGCCCTTTGCTGACTCCATTGTCGGCCTCAGCCCGCCCGCACCTGGATGAATAAACAGCCATGTTGCTCACACAAAGCCTGTTTGGGGGTCTCCTCATTCAGAGCACACGTTTTAACATAAAGCCAATTCAATTCATCACTGAATTAGTAGGTCTGAAACCTTTCTGAGCACAATCTCACTACGGTATTCTTGAAACATCACATACATTTTTGATTAAAAGTAATTCGCTCTGTTAGGGACAAGCTGCCTCAGCAAACCCCCACCACGAAAGCTGAGTCCTCCGCACTCTGAGGACTCCGCAGCTGCATTTCTGAACTCCTATCTGGGTGCCAGGTCAAGGCTACCAGACCTGCTACAATTAAGCAAAGCCTGATTACAGCCATCCGGGCAGCTTGGGAGAGGACAGGGAAAACCCATGTTTGCCATCCACACTTGTAAATTCCTGCTTAACCCATACCTGTAAAATCCTGATTTTTAAAAAAACTGCCCCCACAAAAGTCACAGGATGATGTATCGTAGGTCTGTTACAAGTTGACACACTATCTATCTCTGTGCCTGTTACAAGCTGATAGATTATCTCAGTCCTGAAACTCCCTTATGCTCCTCTCACCCCATATAAACCCCTCGTTTTATAAGCTGGGGCTGCCTCCTCTGACTGTTACGAGGCAGCCCGGCCGGTTAATAAAAGGTGCTTTGCCTGGCTTAGGGTCCGTTCTCCTTTCACTACGCCAACCTTACACGCTCTAATTTTAAAAATAATCTACTTGTCAGGAGCGCACTGCTTTGCTGGCGTCTGTGATCAGCTGGAGATGGTGGTGAACGGCCTGGTTGCATTTCTTGGAAGAAGATCTTTTATTCTGCTGCTCAACCCAGGTCTCTGCCTTCCTTAGAGACTGAGGATCATCCATCAGTTTCCCTGATTCAAGAAGAACAGGGAGTTGAATGGAGCAGGGGGTGAGAGAGTGGAAAAACGGCACAGGGAGGAGGCCTGGGGACAGGGACAATGACGGGAGAGGAGGGGGGACGTGGGAGGTGGGAGAGAGAGGGAGGCTGTGAGGAGGAAAGGGAGGGAGGGAGCTAGGTGCCCTTGGGGGAGCAGGGAACCCAGAGGAGGCTCTGAGCAGAGGGGAAGGCAAGGCCCGGGGGAGAGGGGAGGAGGGGAGGCCGATGGGGCACTGGGCAGAGGGAGGGAGCCCTCACCTGGAGAATGGCCTGCAGCCTCCCACTCAGGGCTTGGCTGTGCTCATCTAGTCCCTCCCAGGGCTGGAAGCAGCATCCCTGGTGATCCACAAAGGTGTCCCAGCAGTGCCTAAACTCTGAAAAAGGGACAGGGGAGATAAGTCACGTTCCCCTGTGGGAAGGAGGCACCGAGGGCCCTGACTCTCAGGACAGACTTCCACATGCTGGTTTCAGTCCCTCCTTTCCCTCCCCCTCCCCTCAGGATTTCGCTCTGTATTAGCCACTTCCTTCCCATTGGAATCTGGGCCAGCGAGAAGAGCAGGGGCCTCCCCAGAGGGCCTGAGCACACAGAGCTGACCCTGGGAGACCCTGACAAGGCCCCAACAGGCCCCAGGGCTGCAGGGATCTCCCAGTGAGCCCCAGAAGGGGTCAGAGTGGAAGGTTTGGAGATTCCAGCAAGTGAGCGGGAGCCCCTCCTGATAGGTGCCAAGGGATGTGGGGAGCAGGGGGAAAGAGGGTGGGGTGCCAGGGAGGAAGCCTGGGGATGGAGGGGAGGCAGGAGGAGTTCTCATTCTTCTGGAAGCCCCAAGTCCTTCTTCCACTTCCAGCCACCCTCCCCGCCCTTCCCAGGTCCCCATCTCCTGGCCTGGCCTCTCTCTTCCCATAGTCCCCAAAGTCAGGCCCAGTGTGCAGCCCTCGCCTCTGCAGGCAGCAGACCAAGGCCTCTCCCACAGGGATGCCCACCCTCCCCACTTTCTAGTAACTCCCCAGGGCCCTCTCCTGCCCCGGCTGACCCCACCCCACTGCAGGCTTCCATTCTCACCGCTGTATTTCATCATGGAAATTGGGGCCCCAGCCCAGCCCAGCCTGCACAGCCCCTCCTCATATCCTGGGTGATAATCATAGATGCGGGCAGCGAAGATGCGCAGGTTCACGTGTGGGTTCTCTTGAAGGAATTCAGCCACCTCCAGGGCACAGCTGAAGCAGGGGCTCCAGGAGATGAAGCAGGTGACCCTGTAGCGCTGGGCCGGGTCCAGCTTCCAAAAGGAAATCAGGTCCAGGAGGCACAACTCTGCATGGCGGCCTTCAGGGAAACTGAGGCTATTTGAAGCCTAGAAAAGAAAGCAAGGTGTTGGCCGGGCGTGGTGGCTCACGCCCATAATCCCAGCACTTTGGGAGGCTGAGATGGGTGGATCACCTGAGGTCAGGAGTTCAAGAAAGCAAGGTGTGAGGGCCATCTTTTGTGAGCAGGGGCGGACAGCCTGGATCAGGTGAGGCTGGGTGCGGGGCCGCCTCCCCCACAAGATTAGAAGGGGCACCAAACCCCAGTTATCAAGATGATTTTCTTATTTTTCTTTTTTTGAGACAGAGTCTGGTTCTGTCACTCAGGCTGGCGTGCAGTGCTGTAATCTCGGCTCACTGCAACCACCGCCTCTCAGGTTCAAGCGACTCTGATGCCTCAGCCTCCCCAGCAGCTGGGATTACAGGTGTAAGCCACCACACCTGACTAATTTTTGTATTTTTAGTAGAGACGAGGTTTCACCATGGTGGCCAGGCTGGTCTCCAGCTCATGACATCAAGTAATCCTCTGGCCTTGGCCTCCCAAACTGCTGGGATTACAGGTGTGAGCCACCACACCTGACCTGATTTTTAAAATAATGCATTAAATCATTTTATTTTACATTACGATGGGATTTCTCTGATACTGAGTATTTGGAGCATCCTCTCATTTTGCACCTGAGGTCAGTGCCTTCACGACCCTCACTCTGGGCCCAGGAGGGGCTGCAGAGCTTGGGGAGGCAGGACAGATGCCACTGAGCTGAGTGTTCGTCCCTCATGGGGAGATCGTTCTGGCCTTGCTGTGGGCTCCACCCTGGTCAGGACAGAATCCCAGGTCAGCCTCTTCTTCCTCAGTCTCTCTCCCGGCAGGATGTAGCCCAGGAGCAGGCACTGGGGAATCCTGGCCTTGTGAGGTCAGGTAGGCCCTGAGTCCTCAAAACCCACCGTTCTGAATCATTCCTGGGGAGAGCGGCATCTGCGAGGGGATCCTGGGAGGGTCCTCAGGAAGCACTTTGCCTTTGAACCTACCTGGCTCTGGGGTTTGTCCCGACCCTCTCAGAGCACAGGAGGAAGGGAGATGGCTGAGCCCCGGACCTCGGGGTGACTCTGGACTAGTGGTGGCCCTGAGACACGTGGCCGGTTAGGCATGTGGGGCTGGAAGCTGCTGATCCTAGAGAGTCACTGAAGCCGAGGTCTTCCCAAACCCCAGGGCCAAGCAGCAGCAGTGCAGCAAGCACAGGTGACAGATAGTCTGCGGGAGCCCACGGGTCCCACCCAGAACCTTCTAGCCATGCGTGTCCCTGGGTGGGGAGGGCCCTGCGTGGATGCAGGTGTCTGGTGATCACCTCATTGAGTATGAAGCCCCTGTGCTGGTGCAGCGGGACCCAGGTGCCACTGTGCATGTGCTCCACCTTGTAACACAGGTAGGTCTGGTGCCGTCCAAGGACCGAAGGGTCATTGGTAAAGTTGTAAGTGAATGTGCCTGGATCCATCAGGTGTCTGTGGACAGCGGGAGAAAAGCCCAGAAAAGTAAGAGCCCTCCTGGACTGCCCTGCCTCCCCCTCCCTCCCCACGCTTTCCCTCAGGCATCCCAAATTCCTTCCCCCTGCTCCCCACATGCCTTGGCACCACTCAGGAGGGGCTCCCACTCACTTGCTGGAATCTCCAAACCTCCCCCTCTGGCTCCTTCTGGGGCTCACTGGGAGATCCCTGCAGCCCTGGGGCCTGTTGGGGCCTTGTCAGGGTCTCCCAGGGTCAGCTTCATGTGCTCAGGTTGTAACATAGCTAGCCTAAAGTTAGAACCTGAGCAATACAAAGCTGTTTTTAAAATAAGTTGCAACAGCTGCCCCATTCTCCTCACAGTAACTGCTGGCCTTGCTTGCTACGTAAAGCTGCTTGCCTTTGCTTATCAATAAGTGCCGTAAAGTTGCTTGCCCTGTACCCCCTCACTCTCCTTTGCTTATCAGCAATTGCCGAATAAGCAGTCCTAACCCACGCCATCTTGGCTCCTGCGACTTGTAATAAGGTCTGTGACTTCCGCCTTACCCAGATGATGTGTAAACAAATGTTTTTCTTGACTTCTGTAAACCACTTAAGTAACAAACGGAATGACAAGAGTCCCCTGGCCCTTGGAATATCTGGAGCCCTGTCTCCGCCCAGGAGATGATTTACAGAATCCACTAGCCCTGGGAATGTCTGAAGCCTTTTCATCCCCATCCCCGCTCCTCACCCCAACTCCCAAGGTGGCTTTTCGGGTATAAAAAGTATTGGCACCCTCCCTTCGGGGCCACAGATTGGAGAGACGTGAGTCCTCTGTGGTCGCCGGCATAGCAAATGACCCTGCAATCTGGCATACTTTTGTCCTGGTGCTAACTCTCTATGCTCGGTCCAGTATAACAGGCCCTCCGGAGAGGCCCCTGCCCCTCTCCCTGAGCTAGAGCTGGGTCTCCTTCCCTGGCCTCACCATGCAACCCAGTCCTCGCTCTGCTCGCCCTCAGTCCCTGCTGGAGATGGATCCGCTGGGGCTTCCCTCCTGCAAGCGGAGTGAATACTACCACACCCAGCATCGGGGCAGAGACACTCCTGAGCGGGACCAGCAGGAGAAGAGCCTGCTAGGGACTTTTTTTTTTTTTTTTTATAATTCACAGGATTTTCTTCCACTGCCAAAAAACGCCTGTCCTCACAAGACCACAAATTATAAAAATAAAAGTGAACTCTTAGCGCCCAGTGCAGAGGCATTTCCAAAACAGAAACGCCAGGTCTTCTCCCTGGACTGGACAGAGGGGAGGATGTGAGCTCTGATGGGATTCTGCAGAGCCTGGAACTGGGAGGAGTCTGGCTGGGGAAGCCATGGGCATCAGCTGAGGGGTCACGTGGGGACCACTAAAGAGACCTGGAGAGAGTGAGAAGGGGAGCAGCCCGGGGTGGGGAGCCTGTCAGGGGCTAAGGAGTGGCTCAGGAGTGTGGGGTGCAGGAGGAATGGGGTGAGTGGAGCATGCAGGAAGGTCTAGGTGGAGAGGCCATCAGGGTCAGGTCAGGACCCCCGGGAGACACACACACAGGACAGGAACCCCACCCTTGCCCCCCAGGCCTGCCCACAATGGCTGTGGTTGTTGCCGTGGGCTGCACTGTTTCTCCCCAAAATCCACATATTGAAGCCCCAGCCCCCACTGCCTCAAAGTGTGGCTGTATTTGGAAACAGGTCCTTTTCTGTTTGTTTGTTTGTTTCAGAAGTTTCGATCTTTCACTCAGGCTGAAGTGTGGTCCCACGGTCTGGCCTCACCGCAACCTCTGCCTCCCAGGTTCAAGCCATTCTCCTGCCCGAGCCTCCGGAGTAGCCAGGATTATAAACATGCATGCCCCCGCCTGGCTAATTTTTCTATTTTTGGTAGAGACAGCGTTTTGCCATGTTGGCCAGGCTGATCTCGAACCCCTGGCCTCAGGTGATCACCCGCCTCACACTCCCAAAGTAGTGGGATTACAGGCATGAACCTCTGCGCCCAGCCTAGAGACAGGTCCTTTCATCAGATTATTAATTTAAATGAGACCTTTAGTGTGGGCCTAAATTCACTTGGCTGGGGTCCATAAACCAGGAGGACATTTGGAGGCAGAGAGATGCCAGTGGTGCAGGTTCACAGAGCAAGGGCCACAGAGGGCACGGCTGGGAGCGACCCCTGCCAGCCAGGAGAAGCAGGTTTGGGCTTCAGAGGAAACAACCCAGCCGATGGCTCCACCTTGAACTTGCAGCCTCCACATCCGTAAGAAAATAAGCCCCTGTCCTGCGGGTGCCCGGCCCGGGGCCATCTTCTATGGAGGCTGAAGCCTGAAGCTCTGTTTCCAAGGAGGCGGCTCCTTCTCAGGGGCTTAGGTTGGCCTTTAAGGATGTTGCTGAAAGCTTCTGTAGGGCTTGTGAATATTCACACCCAGGGAGATGGAAGGAGCCAGGCTGTGGCTCCCAGGCTGAGGGGAGGGCAGCCTCGGGAGTGGATGGAGGTCACTCTGGAGGCAGAAGGGGTCTCTCACACACAGGAAGGGCCCAGGAAAGCAGGGGAGGCAGCAAGGTGGAGGGAGCAGAGGTGGGGATGAGGGTGGGGGTGGGGAGTGTGACCATGAGGGCAGGCAGCGGGGCAGGAGGGAGGGCAGAAGGGCTCGGGCAGGAGTGGAACTGCTCTGAAACAGAGGGGAGGCCTCAGGAGGATGAGCAGGAGGTGAGAGGAGAGAGGTGATGAGGCCGGAGGGAGACCCTCACCTGAGAACTTCCCCCAGCGTGATGTGCAGTAATGTGCAATGTTTAGGCAGCTTATTCCAAGGCTTGTACAATCTTTGGTTGTCCACGAACTTGTCCCAACAGTGTTGAAATTCTGAGAAAAAGAAGAGAGAACGCAGTCAGGCCCAGCTGGCCTCTCTCCTGTGACCCTGGGGCCCTCCCCTCCCAGACCTACTCCAGGATGTTAGTTACTCTCAGTGCCAGACCTGACCCCACAGGCTCCCCTGAGACACCTGGCCTCTGCTGGCATCACAGACCCACAGGTAGGTGTGGGAGGGACCCATCGCAGATCCTCATGCAGTCCCCCCAACACCCCTGAACCCCACTTCTCACCGCCATAACTCATGATCTTCATGGTGGCATGAGGATTCTTTTTTTTCTGACACAGTCTGCGAAGCCCCTCCCGGTAATCTGGGTCCCAGAAGTAGTAGAGGCGGGCCACGAAGATGGTCAGGGTGACCTTCCCGTCCTCGGCCAGGAACTCGGCCATGTTCCTTGCACACACTGGGCAGGGGCTCCAGGACACAAACCAGGTGACCTCGTACTCCTGGTCACTATGCAGCTTCCACTTTCGGAACCAGTGGAGGAATCTCATCTCTGGGTGGTGTTGAGGCTTCGAATAGACCTGGGAGAAGAGGAGGGGCAGGGGAAGCTGTGGGACACTGAGCAGGAGGAGTGCAGGGGTGGGGCAGGGGGAGGAGGGGCCAGGACAGGGCTGGGGGATCTTGTTCATCGAAGCTCCTTTCCTCCATCCCCCCTCTTTGGCTTGAGAGTTTGTCTGCTCCAAAGCTCATGTTCAGTGTTAACTGCTATTGCAATGGCCTTAAGAGGTGGCACTGACAAGAGGCTATGAGGCTGTGGGGACTACACCTTTGTGGGTACCACTGGG